GGTTTGATCCCTGGATTGGGAAGATGCCCTGGAGGAGGAAATGGCAACCCACTCCAGCATTCTTGCCACTATTACACTAGTCCGATAGATTGATACAATCACTTCCCTTCCTCAAGAAGAACCTGACTTTGCTGGAGAAACAGGACCTATCTCATATTTTGCTTTTCTCCCTACGATGCGAGGCAAAGGCCGGTCACGTTAAAGCACTCCTGGGGTGGGATAACGGGGTGTCTCTAATGCAAAAGGTCACAGGGATGAGGCTGGAGAAGGGATTCAGGAGATGCTCCAGAGGTTTCCTGCACATGGTGAAGCTGAGCACCTCTCAGGGCCTTGCCCTGTGACAACGTCCCTCCCCATTCTGTTTCTACACCAAGATTATCCCTTACTTACAGAGACCAAGCTCGTTCCTATTTAATCTGTTCCTTTTGAACCCGACATCCCTCTCACTATCCTCACAGGCAACCATAAAGCCTGTACAGAACTTTCCACTTGTGTGTTCTTACAAAATGACTTGATCCCGTGGACAGAGGAGCCTGGTGGGCTACAGCCCATGGGGTTGCCAAGAGTTGGACCCGACAGAGCAACTCACACACACATACACATGCATTTTTAATTTACAGAAATGGTATTGTGTTATAGATCACATTCAATTTCTTAGACATTCCCCACCAGCACCAAGTATTTAAGATGGACCCAGACTGCTCCATGTACACCTATGCCAACACTCCTGTCTCCTGTGACCCCTTGTGTACCACCACGTTTCACCTGCCCTCCCCATCGCCCACCTCCCAGCGACTGAGACACTCAGCCTGTCTGCAGTCTTCGACCAGCACGGATACTGGCGAGTATCCCCTGCGTGCCCTCCTCGCTGCTGCCCAGGTTTAAGGAAGGTGCAGGCCAGGCTGTGCCACGAGGCCTTCACCCTGGCCCCAGGAGGGAATTCTCGACAAATGGAGAAAGCCATCAAACAGGAGCACTTTTTTTTTTTTTTTTTTACCAGTAGCAAGTTTTATTCTAAGCAACTGCACATCATCAAAGGGGACACACACAGGACCCAGGAGCCCGCTCCCAGCTCCCCCCCCCCGCACCCCCCCCGCAACAGGGGGCAGGCATCCAACACTCCTGAGAGACACAGTGCTTTTTCTCCATCCTCTCAGGAAATCAGGTCCAGAACAAGTGTGCAGTGTGTGTAATCTGAACAACCTCAAGAAACAACTGGTGTAACAGGGACCAACTCAAGGGACCACCCGGGTACAAGCTGACCAACCCAAAGTGAAAACGGGGCTCTCCACCCTGGGAGGCTGTGGAAGCACAGCGGGGATGGGCTGGAAGGGCAGGGAGGAGCCCCCCTCGCAGAAGGAGCCGTACCCCAGCTCCTCTCCTGGACCCTCCCCGCCCAGCAGGGGCTCTGCGGGCTCCCTCACTACGCTGTCCCTCGTGGTCTGTTAGCACCCCCCGGAGCGCCCAGGACCCCCACAACAGGGGGTTCAGCACTGCGTCCCGGCCTCTGGCCTGACTGAATGTGGGTGGGCTGAGCGAGCCCGTGAGTGATTCCCTCCTGGAGGGCAAGCCAGGTCCCCCTGTTAGGAACAACTTCTACGACTCTGGAAATTTAAACCGTGCCGGGCTTTCTTCATCAACTAAAATCTAATCCTCCCTCCCCCCAAAAAAAGGTTCTTCAGAGCAGGGTAAGCAGTTCCCTTTAATTATCTCCTCTACTTGTCCGGAACCAGGAGACCACAGAAGAGGAGGACCCACGAGGCTGTGCATCCACACGCCCGCTCACTCCTCTGACTCAGACTCAACCCCTGGGAAGACCCAGAGGCAGGGAGAGGCCCCGGGCCGGCAGGGTCAGACAGCCCCACCCAGCCTGTCACTTTCTGCTCGGACGGGAAACCAGAGATGGCAGGAGAGGCCTGGCCCAGGCTCCCCGCCTCCCCCGGATTTCAGGACAGCCTCCGGGCTCGGCCCAGTGCCGGGCCACGGAAAGCAAACCAGAGAGAGCCCCTCAGGGAGAAGTCAGTCTCCGACCCTGCAGTGTCTGTTGGGGGACAGTGCCAGCTCCCCCCACCCCCCCCTCCTCTGAGTGAGGGGCTGGCACCCCTAGAGCAGGCCGCTGGGCCTGGCAGGCTGCAGGGCCAGCCCGCCCCGCTCCCGCTGGTGGATCTTCTGGTGCTGCAGGAGGTGCTGCTTCTGCACAAAGCTCTTCTCGCACTCCGGGCAGCTGTAGGGCCGCTCGCCCGTGTGGATGCGCTGGTGCCGCACCAGGTCCGACGGGTGGCTGAAGCTCTTGCCGCAGTAGCCACAGAGGAGGGAGCCCCGGCTCCTCCTCCAGGGTATGTGGCCGGGCAGGGCGACCAGGCTGTTGGGTGAGAACCGCTCCTGGGCCGGGCGGCCGGCCCGGGCAGCCTCCTGCAGGTGGCAGCGCTGGTGGGTCAGCAGGCTCACCCGGCAGCGGAAGCTCCTCGTGCACGCATCGCACTGGAGTGGCTGCGCCTTCCGGGCTGGGGGCTTCAGCTGGGGCCGGGGCCTCGCCTCTGGCTCTGAGGGGGTCTGCAGGTGTGAGGCCTCGCACTCGGGACATCCGCAGGGGCCAGCGCTGTCCCTTCTCAGCTGCAGGCCTTGCCCACACTCCCGACCCGGCTGCAGCTGCTTATGACACTTGCGCTTCGGGGGGCAGCCCAGAGTTCTGCCACTGCCAAGGTCTCTCCCGCCCTCGGTGGGCTCCTCCAGACGAGTGTCCCCGGGACCTGATTCCAAGAGAATGGACCTGCCCTGCCCATCCCAGAGCTCAGCCTGCTCCGGGCTCAGGAGAGCCTGCTCATCGGCAAAGCCCGAGCACTCTCCGGGAAGGTCCGCAGAGCTGTCCTGCGTGTTCTGTGTCTCCTGCTTGACCACGACCTCCTCCACTGCTGAGAGAAAGGAGAACCACAAAAGAGATCACAGTCTAGGTTGTTTCAGAGCTAAACGCACCTCAGCGAGCTTCAGAAGGGCTCAAATTAGAGTACCCCAGGACCAAGGGAACTGGGACAACATGAAAGAGGAGGAGACTGAGTGGCTTGCAAGGCCTGAAAAACTAAACCTATACTCAGGTAGAGACATGCTGATTGGAATTTAAATACATCATGCTTACAGACACTGTTATAAGTTCTCCAAGCTTGTTCACAAATTTGCTTTCAACCTCTGTAGAAAATGGCTAGATAAACACAGGTAAAACGCATAAGCTACTTTAAGTGTTAAGAGTGTTAAAATAATAAATGTGAACAATAAAACAAACACACACCTAAACCTGTAGCTTAGAAATCCAGTATCCAGCTCCGTTCTTCCTGCAGTCTCCCCAGATGACCTGGTTCCCAGTGGCTTCTCCTGCCTCTTGCCCAGCGAGCCTCACTCCTGCAGATCTGACCCACCCTGCTCTGTCTCCACTGGGTTCTGACTCATGTCTATTAGGTACTCTATCCTGTACAGACACGGAAGGGCGAGGCGGCCGCCAGTCTCAAGGACTCCCCGCAGCAGTGAAGGAGGTAAGAGCCACATATTAGAGATGAACTCAAGACAACCATAAAGGAGTTTAGAATAAATGCCGGACAAGGCGACTGACAATCAGCGCTGGGCAGTTTGGTGGTGGCAAAGCTCACGACAGGCTGCCGGGGGCGGGACGGGGGTTGAATTCTGGAGCCACTCACCTGGGTGGCCACCATGAGACTCTTCCTCCTCTAAGTCACCCGGCATCTCTGCACCCAACTCCATGTCTCCTTCGGGCTGGCCGAGCACCTCTGGGGTGGAAAGGGCACAGTGTGAGCCCAGAAGACAGGACTGGTCATTTGCCAGTGAACAAGGTGACCAAAGTCAAGGAGCTGAAGGTAAAACTTCAGAAGATTCACAGTCACTTTCCCCTAGCAGTTTCGGACAATTCAGAAAATTACGGCCAATTCGAAGGATCCATTTGGCTAATGGCTGCCTTCAACGCTCCTTCTCAGCCGCTGGGGGCCAGGGCCCAGAGCTCCCTGCTTTCCTCCCAATACCACCCCCACCTCCCATGGACGGGGGCTCCTTTCCGGGGGTCTAACTTCACCTGGGCCACAGCCCTGCAAGGCAAGGTGAGCACTGCTGTCCCCACTGGGACAGACAAGACAAGAGCCACCAGCACCTGCAACCCAGCCAAGCTCACCGTCTCCTCTCTGACCATCTTCCCCTTCCGTCTCCCTCCCTCCGCTCCAGTCACACCGGCCTTCTGGACAAGGCTCCACAGGCCTCGGTTCTAAAGGAGTTTAGAACCCAACAAAATGCGTCTATTATTTTACCTATAAAGATGAACATCTATCAAGCAGCACTTCTAATCAACACAATATGAACTTGGAAACCACAGGACCGGCTGTAATTCCAGGTAAATGCCAAGAAACATTGTTTGGTGAGTCCCTGCTGCCTGCCCATCCCAGGTAACAAAGGATTTCTTGTCAAGCCGTCCTAAGTATTAAAAACAGCTTGAGGTATCCTAGTTGTGTTACACTCTAACGCACATGATGACATTTTATTTATTAGTATAAACGCTATCAAGAACTGACTATGTGAATACAGAGAAGAAATACAAAACCTTTCCAAGAGTCTTCCTAAACTGAGGGCCTGGAGACTCCCATTACTCAACCCGGCTGAGGCCAAGAGAGGACTCACAGCCACGAGAATCCCAGGTGAAGCCTGGGTCACACACGCCTTGGTCAGGAATTGCAGGATGTCTGAGGGCGAGGTTCAGGGAGAAAACCGCTACCTACTCAGAGAGACCAGAGTCTCATAGTTGCTCTTCATCACATTGGCATAGAGCTCCTTCTGCCAGTCCTCCAGGTTTTCCCACTCCTGCTCCGAAAAGCAGACTCCATCATTTTCAAGTGACCTGGACACCTGGAATCACAAATGTCACACAGTGAGGGCCTCCGATCAAGGATACAAAGGAAAAGCCGGCCACTGAGAAATCTTCACTGACAGCCCCTAAGAATCAGGCTTACCTTGGGGACCTCGCCCTTGCTGCCCGGGGGCAGCCGCAGGATCCAGAAGTTCTTGTTCCTCAGTAGGTTCTCCACGTTCTCCAGCCGCCTCTGCAGCAGCCCGTATTCCTGGAGCAGGGTCCCCAGCACGGCCCACTTGCCCTCCAGCTGGTTCCCGAACTCCATGGCCGTCTTCTCACAGTCGGCCAGCTTCTTCTCGGCCGTCCCTGTCCGCCCCTCCAGAGTCAGCAGGCGGGCGGCCTGGGACTCCACCTTCTTCTCCACGGCCTGGATGGCAGCCACCACGGTCCAGAGTGAGATCTCTGTGGTCTCCAGGTAGGAGCTTTTCTCCGTTGCTTGTGGGGGCGGCGTGGAGGAAGTCAGAGGGCTGAAGCGGTGCTTCCTCCTGTGCTGAAGAACCAGGTGCAGGGTCAGGCGATCTTTTCCAAACAACAGGTTAAAAACACACAAGGGGTCCAGGAACACTATGGCATCTAGTTTCTACTTTTTTTCTTTTTTAGTTTAAAAAGCATGTGCTTTCATATTCTGATACTTCAAATTACACATATATGCCATAAGAAGAAGAAACTGAAAAGGAGAAAGAAAGAAACATGTATGTAAAATATCACTATCCAGAAATAGGCTGTTGGAATTCTGGTATATTTCCTACAGGTTCCCCCCCGCCCCCATCTTTTAACTTACTTTTTCAACAAAACTGCCATTGTAAGTGTTTTGTTACCTGCGTTTCACAGCCAGGCTTTTCAGTACGACTTTCCAGTCAGTATTCATGTTTTTAAGCCAATTTTTTTCTATTTGATATTTTAGATCATGTATGGTACTCTGCTATGATAAATGATGTGATTTCCATCCACTTTCACCTCCACACTCCTGCCAGACTTCGCAGTGGATCACGTCAGCCCTTGCAGGTGGCTCTCCACAATCAAGACAAAATTCCTTAGCAGGACCTACAAGACTCACCACATTCACCTTTGCAACTTACCAATAAGGATAGTGAAAACTGAATCCTTCAGAAACATTTACTTAAATGACCTGAGTCCTCGGGCACTGTCCCTAGGCTTCACATTTTTAGGGTCTGTCCCTGACAGTGGCTGAATCTCAGAATTAATAAAACCAACACCTGGGAAGTGTTTCTGAGCTGTCCTCTTGCCCACACTGTGTGTTCATGTCAGTCTTAAACCCCCAAAGCTTCATATTCTCTTATATGGCACACACTTTATTCAAGGCTGCTTCTCTAACTATAATGAGGACATGGAGAACAAGACATTGGAAGGAAATATCTTTGGAAGAACTGCCAGGGCCTGAGCTTATGGTCTAGAGAAAGAGGGGATGAGATGAGGCCAACCAATGGCACAGAACTGAACATTTAAGTTTGGCCGTGACCTAGTCCAGGTAACCAACTCAGTTCATTACTGAGCTATTTAAATCAAAGGCTTAAATACCCCCCTTAAAAAACACGTGAAGAAAAGTTTAATGTAAAAGAAAAATACAAATGAAACAAAAAAAAAATCTGATTACTGGATGAAATCATTTCACCACACATTTTGCCTATCAGGAGGGTGGGCCCTAATCCAGAGTGACTGGCGTCCTAAGAATGTGAGAGAAATACAGACACGGAGACACACACACAGAGGGAAGACACAGTGGGAAGGCACACACAGGAGACGCACACCTGGATCTGGAGCAGAGGCTGGAGCTGCGCTGCCACAAGCCAAGGAACACCTGGCGCCGGCAGAAGCCAGGGGAGAGCAGGGCACAGATGCTGCCTCACGGTTCTCGTAAAGAACCAACCCTGTGGACCCCTGGAGGTCAGACTTCTAGCCTCCAGAACTGAGAGACAAGCACTTTGCTGGTTAGGCCACCTAGCTGGTGGGCCTTTGTTACAGCAGCCCTAGGAAAGATACACCTTATACCAGAATGGTTAGTGTCAGTCACTCAGCGTGTCCAACTCTCTGCGACCCCACGGACTGTAACCTACCAGGCTTCTCTGTCCACAGAATTCTCCAGGCAAGGATGCTGGAGTAGGTTGCCATTTCCTTCTCCACCTTATATCAGAATACTCCTCAGCAATAAAAAGGAACGAATTATTGATACCTATAACAACATGGATGAATCTCAAGATCACAAATGTGAAAGAAACCAGACACAAAATGCTACATGCTGCATTCACTTACTTGACATTCAGCAAAAGACAAAACTATGGACACAAGACACATCAGCGGTTGCCAGGGGCTGGGACTGAAGGAAATTAATCACTTAGGGGGTACTTTTGGGGATGATGATGACAATATTCTATAACTTGGTAATATGATGACTATACATTTTTCAAAACTCACTGAACTACAGTTATGCTTAAGGAGTGAATTTTATTGTGTGTAAATTATATCTCAGTAAACAGGACGCAGAGTATCAAGGAAGGAGAAAATGTTAGCTATCATAAAAGATACCATAAACAAAGTCGAGAAACAAACAGGAAGAGAATATGTGTAAACAGGATATGAATTAGAAAGAAAAGATAAATAACCCAAACATAAAACTGCAGACTATAAGTAATTTGCAAAAGTGGAAATGTAGGTGGTCAGTAAGCAGATGAAAAGACAACCACATTAGCTGTCAGGAACGCAGATACAACCAAGTGAAATCACTTTTCATCAACCTGTTTGAGAAATATGAAAGAGAGGGAAGGGGAACAACAATCAGAGCCAACTATGACGTGGTAAGTCTGGTACCCTCATAAACATTCCTGGAAGGAATGAAAAATACTACAGACTTTGAGGGAAGAAAATATCCAAAAGATCATTAAAACCCTTTCACCTAGTGATACCACTAAGGGACTCTTCAAAAATAAACAGATCATTATTCAGCGACATACATATGAAGATGACTGATTACTGGCAACATTCTTTGGAAGAGCCAAAACCTGGAAATAATCTTGATGTCTTCTTTTTTGTTTGCACCAAGTGGCTTACAGGATAGTTCCCTCATCAGGTGTTGAACCTGGGCCACAGTAGTGACCGGCTCCCCAGGTGGCTCAGTGGGTAAAGAATCCACCTATCAATGTAGGAGACTCAAGAAATGAAAATTCAATCCCTGGGTTGGAAAGATCCCCTGAAATAGGAACTGGCAACTCATTCCAGTATTCTTGCCTGGAGAATTCCATGAACAGAGGAGCCTGGCAGGCTACAGTCCATAGAGTCGCAACGAGTTCAGACACGACTGATATGACGAGGGGCACAGTGACAGTGCCAAGTCCTAACCACTGGACCACAAGGGAACTCCCTCTAGATGTCTATCAATAAGAAGATGGTTAAATGAATTGTGGCACAAAAATGATGTTACACAATTGTTAAAAAGAATGAGTTAGATCTATGTGTATGATCTAGAAGAATGTTCATCATACACTGATAGGATAAAAGGCAACTCTGAGGGAAATACATTTATTATGACTTCATTTTCCTAAAGAAGAGACAAGATAAGTGTATATGTTTGTTTTAGGACACAGGAAGGTATGGGAAGATATTCACCAAACTATACTAATACAAGTCAGCCTCAGGATGTGAGAGAGAGGGACTTTAATCTCTGATTATAAACTATTGCTTGTTTGACTTTTTCACTAAACACATACTCCTCTATAATTTTTTCCTTAGATTTCATACATAAGAATACTCCTGAAGGCAATGAGAAATCTTCAAAAAGTACACTTACACTCACCATATTTCTGGATTTTCTGGGACAGTCCTGCTTGCAAATTGTATCTTGCTGTCAGATCATGTATCATACACCGGGCCTGCAGCTATGGTCTGAAACCCACAATCACTGCTTATGAGACACAGCCCCTGCTCTTAGGAAACCTACAAGCTGCTTGAGTAAAACACTAAGCAACACTCTAAAGTGATACTTGACAAAGCTGGACTAGATGATATTTAAGGTTGCTTCTAACTCTGAGATAGATGACTTTTTGTATTGAACAGAAAAAAAAAGAATATTTTCATAATACATAAAATATATAAAGTAGTGACAACAAATCTCTATGTAACCAGCATTCAGGTAAAAAAACTAATTAATTAAAATTAAACACATATGTGCACACACACGCACAGTCTACCTGGGAGATACCATGGGTTCAGTTCCAAACCACCACAATAAAGCAGGTATGACAATAAAGCAAGTCAAATGAATTTTCTGATTTTCATAAAGCAGGTATGACAATAAAGCAAGCCAAATGAATTTTCTGATTTTCATAAAGCAGGTATGCCAATAAAGAAAGTCAAATGAATTTTCTGATTTTCTAGTACATATGAAAAGTTATGTTTACACTATTCTGTAATCTAATGCAATAGCATTATGTCTAAAAAACAGTATATACCTTAATTTAAAAATACTTTATTGTCAAAAAATGCTAACCATCATCTGAGCCTCCAGTGAGTCGGAATCTTTTCTGCAGTATTAACATCAAAGATCATTGATCACCATAACAAATATAATAACAATGAAAAAGTTCAAAATATTCTGAGAATCACCAAAACGTGAAACAGAGATATGAGGTGGGCAAATATGTTGGAAAAACAGCAGATGATAGACTTGCTCAACAGACAGTCGCCATAAACCTTCAACTGGTCAGAAACTCTGTCAAGGGCAGTAAAGCAAAGTGCAACACAGTGAGGCATGCCTGTGTGTGTGTGTGTTTTATTTATATCAACTTTACAGTCCTTCGTGCAACTCTCTAAAGTAACTACTATCCAAAATTTGGTTTTTCACTATTAACTGCCCTTTTTCATTTTTTTTTTTACCATGTTTGTTTCCAAAAAATATATTCTTCTCATTGTTCATGGTTTAGGATTTTACATAAACAAGTCACTCTTCTACAACTCCAGGGAACAGCTTGGTATTGCAGGTGGCTTTGATTAATTCATTTTCACTGCTGTATAATATTCTACCATGTGACTACACCACAATTTATTTTTCCATTCCACTACTGGTGTTTCCTCATCTTTATCATTACAAACAGTAGTATGATGAATAGAACTGTACCTGGCTTCTAGTGGATATGGGCATGTTTTCCAAGAGCATAGTCCTAGTAAGGGAATTGTTGGCTCATAGGGTATATACACATCCTGAATTTAAACAGATAATGTCAAATGTTTTCCAAAGTAGTTTTATCAATTTCACTCCCGTAAGAAGTCTATAAGTATCATCACTGTCAAAATAAAATTTGTGTCCCTCTAGCAAAGTTAAAGTGATAGCTGCTCAGTCATGTCTGACTCTTTGCATGCCCATGGACTATAGCCTGCCAGGCTCCTCTGTTTATGGAATTCTCCAGGCAAGAATACTGGAGTGGGTAACATTTCTTTCTCCAGGGGATCTTCAGGACCCAGGGATCAAACTTGG